CGTGTAATCGACCCTAATTGGAGCGGAGCGTGGACCAAAACTTTGGTCTACTTACACATCCTCTGAGGGATGAAGGTGGCCAGTCGTTTTCGTACGCAAAAATCGAGTCACTGCTGAGCTTTCTAGTTTGAAACCACTATCTACCTTGACCTTGTATTCAAGGTTCTACTTCCGCTTCTGTAACTCGGCCCCTAATTGACCTGGCATGACCAAACTTGTCTAATTGACACATTTGGGGAGAAGGTGACAGCTCATCGTACCATAATCCAGGTCCACTGGCGACCTTTATTTGATCCTTTTACCTTGACCTTGATTCATGTTCCTCTCCGCTCTAGTAACTCAGCCCCTACTTGACCCTAGCCGTGACCAAACTTTGGTCTACTTACACAGGTTGGGCGTACAATGTGTGGCAGCGCCGTTACCACAAACCAGGTCACTGCGACTTTATTTGACTCTTTTAACGTGTGCCCTGGATCATATTTTCCCGTTACCGCTCTATAAATTGCCCCTATTGACCTAGCGGGCTACAAACTTGGCTATCTATACTTAGCAAATCTTGGGGAGAAGCGGAGAAGCGTACAACCAGGTCACTCGCGACGCTTTAGTGTGGCTTTTACTTGACCTTGATTATATTTCCTTTGCCGCCTCTATACTCGGGAGCTAATTTGACTAGCGCTACCAAAACAGATCACTGCCGACTTTATTTGACCTTTAATTGACGCTTTGGATGACTATTTCCCTTACGATTTATTACGTCTTGGGCCCCCTAAGGTTGACCTAGCGCTAGTCAAACTTGGTATACTTCAACCCATCTTGGCGTTCTGATGAAGGTTGTCGGAGTACCATAAACAAACAGAGCGCTCATCGACCTTTATTGACCTTTACCTTGACCTTGATCATATTTCTCTTGCATGGTGGGGGCCATTATAACTATGGCCCTAATTGAGCCTAGCGCTACCAAAACTTGGGGTATAATACAACCTCTTGGCCAGAGATGAGTTTTTTTCTGATGCTCGTCGTACCCAAAACCCATTGTCACTGACTGGCTTTTTATTTGACCTTGACCTTATCTAATTCCCTTTCCTTCTTATTGGGAGAACACGGGGCGGGACCGGGTAATGTACGTTGGGCGACAACGCCTTGTCTATTTATATTAGAAAATAAACATTTATTTGTATCTAAACGAAAGATAACCGGTGTTCTACGTATGTTTATTCAGGAGTAACAACAATAAGAGTCTTAGAAGTAGTGAGCTAGTGTGAAGCGATGTTACACTGTAAGATCGAGAGAGAGGTGACGAACATGAGAAGGGAGTCGCGTGGACAAGATGTAGCATCATCCTTCCGCCGATGCTTATGGATATACGAACTTAGAAGTGATGGGATCGAGCGGTCAGACGGTGTCGGCAGCTCGACGGGCCGGGCATTGATGGAATGCGAGATGGCTTTCAAAGGATGTTTTGGATCAGTAGTGGAGTTACAAGTGTGATTAATGATTAGCTACGTAATGTAGAACTTACGTATCTATAGGTGACATTGTATTAAAGCAAAATTTGACACACTCATGTGAATTATGTAATAAGCAATTATACATTTGATGTCCCAACCACAACTAAAATAGAGTGGGCTTGCGGATACGTAACAAATTTGCATCTGGTAAATTTTTTACAAGCTTATATTTTCGGAAAATTTGTAACTATGAGAATGTGGGCTCTGGATAATAAAAAATGGTCTGGTGTAGCTCTCAAAAAAAAGGCTCTGGGGGAATTTTGGACAAGTCAGAAAAATGGCTTGGAGCTTCAGAAAAAATGTGCTCGGCGGAATTTTTGGACAAGTCAGCAAAAATCGGCTCTGCGCGTGGAAAAAAGCTATTTCTTTACCGCTGACCTCATCGGCTTGCCGGTTCGGGCGCGGCATGTGGCACGCTGCTTCATACTTTGTTGCTGTGACTGGAATGCCGGAAGTATCAGATGTGTAAAGAAAAAGTGCTCTGCTAATCTTACATAATCGAAGATTCCCGTGCAGATTCAATTATTAGTTTGAAGGCTAAAAAATGTATGGCAGTGTGGTTAAATTGAAATTATGTGCCATGTGGAAAAATATTGGAATGGTGGCGGGGTCCGCGGTTATATGCAGTCTAGATGAGACTTGAAAACTACCGCTTCCTTTAAGCTCCGACCCCATTTCCTAGACCGCTTGCGATGTGTAGGAGAGTCGTTGCTAATGAAAAACAAGCTTTTACTAGGAAGTTCCTCATTTTAGGTAGCCTGATCCAGTTGAATGGACTTTGTGGCCGGCGCTTGTCCTACGTTTAGCTATCTTGAAACGCTTCTTACTTGAGGAATCACTCTTGCGGTTGTCATGCATCACTATATCTGCACATAATTATGTGATCTTATTTACTGCTTCACCCATTTCCGTTTCCCTTTCCCTTTGGTTCTGCCAAACCCTATGATTTTTGTTGAAACTGGTGGCCATAGCAGCACTTTCCGATATTGTTAAATCACGGCTTTTGTGGTCTTTGCAGGACATGTCTATCCAGATCACCTTGTATTCATATTAGAATTAACATTATTGAATTTAATATGTCTGTTGAGTTACTCGTTTTGCTGGGTTTGGCCTGCATCTTCTTTTCTCTTATCAGCAGACTAAGTGCAGTGTTTTCTTGCCAAAAAGCCTCCTGCTAAGCAGTCTGGCGTATCATAAGCATGCGAGATTGAAGCTGCCGCTTACAGTAGCCAAAACTATGGACTATTACCGTAATGCCGTAAAGCTCTACTTGTCCTATTTCTAGACTAGATAATGCGAATGGAATATGCAGGAAGTGAGTATATTAGAGTTATTATGGTCGTGATACTATTTATCCAACCTCCTGGGGGAACCAAACTATATCACGCCGGTCAGTACTCAGAGGGGGGGAGGGGTGCGAGCGGCATAAGAATAATAATGAAAACTTACAAGATCATTGCTAATGTGTGTGTATGAGGTTTTGTAAATAGTATGTGCTTGTTACAGACCGATGCTGAGATGTTAGATCGGCCCGTGGCCCCGCTCCCACGCACCTCCTCGCCCTCTGCTATCCGTTAAATCTCTGCTAGTCTTCGTCCTACATGGGGAAACTATGAACCCGGCGGATTGGGCGCCTTCTTTTCGTATACATGGGCACTGCTGGTTTATTCTTCCGCTTTGGCTGACTCGTAGTGAGAAGCGAGCTAGACACCCCGGAACACTGTACGGGTGACTCCGAACTTGCCGACGTCGCTTATATAGCCACGAAAGCAAAGGGAGCTTTATCATTTTTAGTAAGATTTTCTTGAAGTTATGTTATAAGGATAAGTGTTTTCAATAAGAGATTTCTATTTCATTTTGTCTAATGTAGTTTAGAGTATTAAATTGTACTATAGATTATATGAGCGATACTAAATTTACCTTAAACCACTTAATAAGAGGAAGACAATCTGGCCTCTCCTTCTCGGATTGAGGATTGTGTTTCAGCCTGAGTCGGTAGTATAGATTTTAGGATCTGTCTTCAATATCAGTAAAATTGCTTCGTTATAATTGTAGGTTTTTTCAAAAAAGATAACCGTGCTTAATTATTCGACTCTCTATCTCGTGGCACCACCAGTTCTATGGTTAATGCTCCCCCTATGGATGCGTCCTCAGTATGGCTCTGGGGAATTTTTGACAAGTCAGAAAAATGGCTCTGGAGCTTCAAAAAAATGGCTCTGGGGAATTTTTGACAAGTCAGAAAAATGGCTCTGGTGGAAAAAAAGCATTTTTTACCCTGCCTCATGGCCTGCGTTAGTGTGGCAGCCTGCTTCATTACTTTTTTGTGATGGAATGCAGAATATAGATGTGTAAGAAGAAAGTGCTTCTAATTATAACGAAGATCCCGTCAATCAATTTTAGTTTGAAAGGCAAAAAATTATGGCAGTGGTGGTTAAATTGAATTTGTGCCATGTGGAACATATTGGGGAATGGGGTCCGGGTTATATGCAGCTAGAGAGACTGAAAATAAGCCTTCCCTTGAAGCTCCGACCCCATTCTAGACCCTGCGCTAGAGGGAGTCATTGCTAATGAAAAACAAAGCTTTACTAGAAGTTCTCCCATTTTAGGTGTTGAAGTTGAACTGACTTTAGTTGGCCCGCTGCTTACTTTAGCTACTGAAGCTTCTACTTGAGGAATTCACTCTTGGTTGTCATGCATACTATATATGAATAACTTATGGGATCTTATTTACTGCTCACCCTATCCCCTTCCCCTTTCCCTTGGTTCTGCCAAACTATGATTTTTGAACTGTGGAGCACTTGCTATGTAATCAGGCTTTTGTTGGTTTTTGACAGCATGTCTATCAATCACTATATCATATAGATATAACAATCATATCTAATATGTCATTTGGTTACTCGTTGCTGGTTGGCTGCAATCCTTCTTTTCTTTAGCAGACTATGAAGTGATTTTCTGCAAAAGCCTCCTGCTACGTTGGCGTAAATAATGCATGAATTGACTGCCGCTACAGTAGCAAAACTATGTACTTTACCTAATGCGTAATCTACTTGTCTTTTACTAACTAGATAATGCATGATAATATCAGGAGTGGATAATAGAGTTATTATTATACTATTATCCACTCCTGATAATATATTGGGAACTAATAATGAAAACTAAAATATTGTAATGTTGTGTATGTATTGTAATGTATGTGTGTTAAACAGCCAGCATTGTCTTCGTATGGGGAAACATGAGCGATTGGCATCTTTCATAATGGGCACTGCTGGTTATTTCTCCTTTGGTGTACTCAGTGAGAAAGAGTGTGTATATAGCACAAAGGAAGCTTTTAATTTTAGTAAAGATTTTGCTGAAAGTTATAGTAATGTTTTCAATAATGAATTTCATAATTTTATCAATGTAGTTTAGATATTAAACTGTCTTAATAATTGATATAATTTACTTAACACAATAAGAGAAGACATTTGGCTTCGATGACATTTGTGTCTCAGCGGAGATAGTTAATATAATATCTTCTTCAAATATCAGTAAATTGCTTCTAATTGTTGTTTTTCACAAAAAGATACCTTAATTATCGACTCTCTATCTGTGGACCAATTATGTTAATGCATATATCTGTCTCACACATGTGTAATATTTTTCTCTGATGCAGCTTCTGCGAAGCACTGATGCGAATACGAAATCGACACATGAATGTTGTGGAAACCATGGCACATGTAAGTCGATGCTTCAATATGTCCTGATTGTATCATCGGCAAAATATCTCCTGAGTAGTACAGCCACTGTGCATTGACACTGGTCGTAATTATCTCTGTACTAGGGCCTCTAAGTGATGGTAGCAATGCTTATTGTCATTCAGTGTCCAATGTTCAGTTATAGGCAAGTCGTTAATTAATGCAGCTAAGCAAATGTCGTTAATTAATTGAATACCTAGAAAAGTAATTAATTGCCATTCAGTGTCCAACAGTTATACAGCAAGCTTCGACTCCCTAGACTCGTTAGTGGAGTAGGCAAGGTACGGTCCGGCATATTAGATAGTACCAGGGTACGTTCCGGTATACCGGACCGTACCCAGGGTATACGTTCCGGCAGTACCCTGGGGGACATAGACCCTCTCAGCGGCAGTTATATAAATATCATACTGTAGCCGGTTTCCATTGATGTGCTGTTAATTGTGGACGACCTCGCATATGGCTTCATTTTCATAAATAATTTAGAAGTCAGATTACAAATGCAAATACCCAGCCTTGTTATACTACTTTTGCTCATTTCAGTTATCAGTTCTGTCTATCTATCTAACTATCTACCTACCTATCTATCTATATCTATCCATCGGTTCATCCATCCAACCAGCTATCCATTTATCTGTCTATATTGATATAATTACAAGTTACATGACGTTATAAGTTCATAATATTTCTTGTACTTACTTTTGGACGGATAAAGCTATATATATATATGCTTAATTGCTTACAATTATGTTGATAATGTTAGCAGATTGGTCTGCCACGAGCGCAGCTAAATCGTGTTTGTGTTGTCATCGACACTGTGATTACAACGCAGCCTATCTTTCAGGTACAGACAGAGCTTCACAGAGATGATGGCATATGAGGAGACGGATGAACAACAAGAAGTGACAGTCCCAAAGGAGTAGGTGTTCCGAACTCGGATAGTAATTAATATTGGCAGGCATTAGAATTCTATCTCTGCATGCATGAAATAGCAACCAATAGTGCATTAACACCTTTGAACAGTAGACTAGAAAATTCGTGTCAATGTCAGTGTAAAAAAAAAATTCAAAAATGATTAAAAAAATTAATGGATGGCTATCCATGATATATATTCCACTCGTGTTCGCTACGGGTTTTGAACTAGTGAATATTCAGAAACCTTGAACTGCTTGCCTTAATTGCTGCTTACATCAGTGACCTCATGGCAGGGAAAAAAATACACGGGAGCGACGAGCAATTTCGCTCCGGTAAGCTCTAAAATCGCTCTGGTAAGAACAATAACGGGAGCGATCGCCCGAGAGAAAATCGCTCCCGTGGCCTGATAAATTGAAATGTACACAAGTACGTACGTACAACGAGCGCTATACACAGTGCATGCAGCAGCGGCTTAAGCTGGCTTTACACTGACGATTATATGCAGTCAAGTTGGCGTTTTTCTTGTTTCTACCAACTCTATATATATATATTCAAAGCTCTTACGTTATATTTGGGGGTCAAGGGTCAAAGGTCAAGATGTGTAAACGGAGGGGGAATATTTCCCCCTTAACTTAAGGTATAGGAGGAAATACGGAATTGCGGCACAAAACTTAACGGCTCGACTAACTGCTCTTAATATTTTGTGTCATAGTGTGATGGGCACCATCACCATACCAATCAGCCAGTGGCGAAATTTGGAGGTCAAAGGGCAGTGCCATGGGGGAAGGTCAGATGTATCAGACATTTTCTGAGGACATGGTCCTAATGGCACCAGAGTTGAAAACTTTTTTGTTCAGCGCTGACCTACATTTTTATCACTTTATTGAAAGGACATTAAATGTCTTTCCACTGACGGGCGAAGAGTATGTTTCTGATATACCTTTTGACCCCTTTCCCCCCCCCCCCCAAAAAAGAAAGGAGGGGTTAAACCGTGGATTCCTGACCTGCCTCAATGCCGTCCACAGTGTGTCATATCATGCCCATCCAAATCCTAGAAACCAATAAGCTGGATAGCCGAACGCATATAGCACAGGCATCACGGTTCAAAGGTCGTTGATCAAATCCCATCTGATTTTTTCATTATTTACCTGTTTTCTTGTATTTTTTTATCTTTATCCATTTAACAATTTTTTCGCCAATTCATGCAAAATTTACATGATTTATTTACAACAAAAATTTTAATAACAACAAATATTTTACAACAGATTAATTTTTTATTATTTTTTAATAGGGTTTAGGATTAGGGTCACAATGCACCATAAAACGGAGTTTCAGGCACGCTGATTGTATCAACCAATTGGGTATTTGGGAGTTATGGCAGCAATGCAGGAAGGTTTGCTGAATGAGGTGTAACGCAACTGCGTACTGGCAATCTAATTTGCGCCCCTAACAAAGGTGTCACTACGCACGACATAAATGTTATGTTTATAACTGTAGCTAACAGACTCAGATGAGGGGCCCAACGCCTCTGCGCTCTGTTTGGCATGTATTATTCATGCCCCAGCGTGGCGTTTATACAGCAAAAACGTGCTCTCCCTAGGGTAGTCCCGACGGGACCACCCCTGATTGGCTGTGTCGATTGCGACTTGTCAAAAAACGTCCAACTCGCCTGCTGCCGAGTTAGGGAATAGAACATGTTTCTAATCTTCCGACCTCACTGCTATCGATCGCTGGACGTGCCGACTTTTGGCGTTTTCCACCGGGGCGGCCGCCTTACGCGCTCACCGCTCTCGCGGCGCAACATGCCAGTTCGTACAATTCGGCGAGCGCACCCTGTCAAACCACTGGGCGCCAGTGTTCAGGAGAAGCGCGCGAGCGGTGAGTGTGAGGATCGGCCTCAGGCCCTCCGACGCAGGGCCTGGGCACTCGGAACCATGACGCCCCGCTGCACGCTGACGCTCGGCTCCATCATACACCAACATACAGATCTCGGGATCGAGGAGTAGGAGTTGCACACAAGCAGACACAGCCGCCCGCGTAGAATAGAAAACTGAGTATGCACCACCGAACTCGACTCATGGGTGCCACTACCTGTTTATTACACAGCTTCGCCCTCAAACTTCCGACCGACAGATCAACATCAACCAGCGGTGGACACCGGCAGCTGCTGGGCCCCTGTGATGTGAATCTGTAATGAGTGTGGTGGAGAGAGAGGTTCCCATTAACCCGATCAAGCAGCTTGTCCTGTTGCGAAGAAGCAGCGACGGAGTGAACTGCGATGAGCGGGAAGGTCGATCTGAAGAGCCGATGACGGGCGTGGAGGGCAGATGGGATTGAGGTCACGAGGAGCGCTCACCCAGACGCCACAATATCCGTCTGAGCCTACGAGCAACCTGTGACACGACTCGTAGACCGGAGGTCCCTCTCTCTTATTTTGATCGCTCGAGAAACAAAAAGAGGCCAAGGAACGACCAGCGAGACACAAACAACCTGCACCAGTCGGAAGTTCTCCATGCCATCATCGCCTCCCCGCGACGAACTCACGACACCCGAAGGGGCACTACCGTAACTCGCCCTTCCCGTCGCTCCCCGCTCAACACCCGCGCCCCACCCCGCGCACGCGCATCGCCCCCGCCCACAGACTCTTCTTTCCTGCTCTACCTCACCACCGCCACCTACACCTCTGACTACGCATCCTCCCACACACACAACCGCGCCGGCCACGCCGCACACACACCACGCAGCCATTCCTACGCCTCAAAACCCCCCCTACACCGCGTCGCACCGTTTCACTCACGCACGCACGCACGCACACACAACCCCTCTCTCGCCGCCCGGGCACGACCGCGGCCGGTGCGCGGCCTGTAACAGACACGCCCCCCACCACACCCCCCCCACTCACCGAGCCTACTCCCCCGACCCATACGGTCACGCGATAGCACCCCAACCATCGGGACACTCAGCCCGCCCACTGTGGGCCACCGTATCTATGCTTCTCGTTCTTCCGGTGTTTTCTCAGTCTCAAAATAAAGAAAGTACACGTTAATTCTGCCCAGCAGGTCTCACAGAGAATATGTGGCTGTGATGTCTGCGACAGCCTCACAGTCACAGCCGTCTGCTCGGGGGACCGATATAGGTTTATCATCTGACTACTCCATTCATAGCTTTCAAACGACAAATCGTAGTGAAGCAATGCCACCCCGCCGCCCGGCACATCCACATTCACACCCACACGCCGGCCCGCGATTAATACACAGGTCATAGAGCTTCGATTCAGCTGGTATTATCTGCCTCAAGTTAAATTTAAATATGAATGAAAGTGTTCAACACAGTTTCTCACGTCCGGGACCAGCCTTTCACCTCCTGGCATCTCCGTAGCTGAAGGATACGCTAGTTCACTACCCACACTCTCACCTCGTATTCATGCAGTCACCAACTGAGCTCTACCCAGCGCCACGCGTTGGCGAGCAGATCACATACAAGCCCTGGGTTGTACACTTGACGATTTTGAGGCTTTGCCCCCCGAAGTGTAGAACCTGCCAGTCCTTGGCCCACTGACAAATCGCCCAGTGTAGAACGCAAAACAGTCGCCCAGCTCCAGCGGGCCGAATCGACTACCACGTGAGTCCGGAAGACCTTAAGAAGCCATGTCGAATTTCGCCCTAAACTCGGACAGCCAGCCGCGAGTTCGCGACGTCTTTTTTGACAAGGTGGCCAATCAGACAACAGCAATCCAGGGGTGTGTCCCTCCCGGACTACCTTAAAGGGGGGCCAGTCACGCACGTTTTGCTTACGACGCCCGACGCTGGCGGCATGTAATACATCAACAAGAGCCCGGCAGAGCGTCCTGGCTCATCTCGCAGGGCTCTGGTTGCGTGGAGCACCAGCCCCGAGGTTCACCCTACACACACCACACCCACGGTCCTCCTCCGTCGCGCGGGCCACCGGGCTGCGAACCCACACCGGCGCTGGTGTGGTAGCGGGGCCCCCCCCGCCCGCCCGCGCCAAATTAATGCAGATACGCAGCTTGCCGTTAGCCGACCGGCCGACGCGCGACGTCATTGTCAGCA